TATTTCTTTTCCTAGAATAAGGGATTTAAAAATTTTCCATAAACAGTAAAATAACTATAACTACAACAAAACATTCAAAATTTTATAATGCAAAAATAAATTTACGCTTACCTGCGTGATAATCACAGCTCATTCAGGTCAAAAAATTAGGCATTAATGAGCAAAACTCATTTTTCCATAACTAATTTTCAAGGTTTTAATTTGTGATTTCTTTTTAAAGAAAAATGAAAATTTTTATAAAATTCCATTACTAATAAAATCCATCAATATCAATATTTTCATATTATTACGTATATATTTTGTATTATATTAAAAATTTTCTCAAATATGATTTTTTAAATATAAATAATAAATATAAGTTATTTAAAATGTAAATTTTTTATTTAATATAAATAATATTTAATAATAACATATTTAATAATAATATATATTATAATACATATTTAATAATAAAATAAATTTTATGTAATAAAATAAAACAAAAAAACATGTTTTTAAATTTCTGCATAGAATACCAAAAAAAAAAAAAACAAAACCGTACAAACGAAACAAATGCTTTCATCCCTCAAATAATTTGTGTGATGCACGTTTGTTTGCATTTTGAGCTCTCACTTCACCTTTTGCTTACGAAGTCTTCGAAGTTTTTCACTACATTTAAACTTCGAAGACTTCGAGAACAAAAATTCACAAAAACTTCGAAGTCTTCGAATATTCGAATTTCTTCGAATACTTCGTGAATTCGAATATGAACAGCACTAGTATGTACCACCCATTTTTATGCATGTTTTATCACAAAATTATTAATAGCGCATATAAATTTTATGAACTTACTTTTTATTATACGGCTTCGCAATTAATTAATCTGTAATTTTTTTTATTTTTTTTTTTGGTGAAATAAACAAGAAAGTAAATATTAACAATAATTCACACAATAAAAAAGCATTGAAAACATTTAATGTGGTAAGAAAAAAACACAACCGATATGAATAGAAAAAACAGAGAATATTCTGACTAAAGAAGACGCAAAAAATGCAACGATGTCTTTACATTTTTAAATACTTTAAATTATCACAATTGATTAAAATTTTATTTTAAATTATTTGCAATTTATTGTAGCAACTATAAAATCATTTCAATTTCAAAAAATAAACATATTAATTACCAAAATTTACAAACACAAAACGGATTCACTTTAGAGCACCCAACACCTCACAGAACTGCTATTGTTTTACTAGCGTTGCCAGATGTATGATTTTACTACAGATTGTCTTAAAATGAAGTAATTAAAAAAAGTGTGTTATTAGTGCAATATTAAGTAGTAGTAGACATAAGAATTTATAAATTTTAGTAACAATACATATACTTAAACTAATTAAAAAATTTTTAATTATATTTCTAATATATATTTTATATTAAAAATTGTTATTACGACCAACTTTCAATCAGTTTTTTATTATTTTAAATTTTTTAAAAATGTTTTTTAAATAAAATAAAAAATAAATATATATATATTATATACTTACATATATATATTCATATATATATATTTATATATGCATAAGTATATATTATATAATATTACATCTATTTGTACTACTACATATAAAATTATTAGTTAATAACGTAATTATACTAATATTATTTTGCCTGTTTTCTCTGCTTTTGTATTAGATTTACAATAATTGTTTTTGTTTGTAATGTAGGTAAAGTTAAAATGTTTTAATAGTTTTTTTTATACATTTAATTAATATATTTTATTTATTTTGTCATATCGTTGCTTAAACAATATTTTAATAATTGATTCTAACAGAATTCTTTTATATTGCTAATAAAAATAATTATTATGAAAAAGATAAGAAAATATAAGAAAATGGCCAAATAACACCAAAATAATTATATTATTAATCAATAATAAAATATAATAATAATAATAAATAGATAAATAAAAATATTTATGTTTAATAATGTGTACATATATAAATAATGTATTCATCATATTATAATTCATTAAATTCTTTTATTTGTGATCAAAAATATTATATAATAATTTATTAGCGCGCTAACTTGTCACTTTAATAGAAATAACTAATTATAGTTTTATAAATTTTTATATGATTATAGTTCAAAGATAACTTATAATCAATACTTTTCCAAGTTGAAGGTCTTTGATTCCTTTAGTTTATATAAATGACAATGTATTTTATCAATCTATCCTAATCATTTTAATTTGATATCTAACAAATAGATACACTTCATGTATTTTATAACGAGATACCTATCTTCGTATAAAAATGGGGATAACAGTGAGAAAGTATTTATATCCAAAAATTTAACTTTTAATATAATGATCGCTTGGCATAACTATACAGCTATTTCGGATTCCACCAATATAAGATATACTTCATATGTTTCATAAAAAGAAATCTGTCTTCAAATAGAATATAGGATAATAGTGAATAATAGGATATAGGATAATAGTCCGCTAACTCAACAGATTGGCAAGCGTCAGATATCTACACGCATAGTGACCACTAAGCTATTATCTTCGAAATACATGAACGCTCAGCAAAGACCATTCCTGTGGCAGTCACCCCAGATCCACTATGGAAAGAGTCAACTTTCAACAAAGAAGCCTTTAAGCTCCCAATAGACGACATCCACCTAACCGGCACTGCGAATGATAAAGTAATACAACTCATGCGCTGCATAACAAATGCACATAACGCATATATGGCAAAGAGAGGCCGGCGGAATGGCAGACAGCATATGTATTGGTGGAGTGACCAAATTTCCGAGTTAAGAAAGAAATGCAAATATGCGCGATGCCTATGTCAGATAGCAAGGGGTCGTGAAAACTTCATAGCGCACCAAGAAGCCTATAAAACATCGAGATATGACATAAAAAACTCGTAAAAGCGAATAGCAAGATAAGATGCTACAAGGTGATGTGTGATAAGGTCGAGAATAATCCCTGAGGACTGGGCTACAAGGTGGTTATGAAAAAATTATATAGCTACCGCCCGCCAGTTACAACAACCGCAACTAAGCTGCAAGCAAAAGTTGAAGGCCTCTTTCAGCAGAGAGCTGATATAGCCTATAGAGTACAAGATAGTGAGCCACAGAATGAAATATCTGAGGTTAGCAAGAATTGGAAGCGGTATGCAAAGGGTTGAAACTAAGGACGCGAACATGGTTATTGCCGGAATAATGCCATTACAGTAGGAAGCAGAAGTTGAAAAGGAACTAAAAGATGAAGACGATAAGTCCCCAGTGTGTCCAGATACAAAAGAAACCGCAAAACATGTGTTTTTTGATTTCCCGAGATATGAGAACCATCGCAGCTCTTTGGTAAGAGTAACCAGAGAACAGGTCACACCTGATAACATTATCCACCTGATGTCACCAAAAAACTTGAATCTGGTATGTTTATTTGCGAAAGAAATCATAGAAGGAGAGAGAGAGCAGCAGAGAGAGCTAGAACTGCAGTAAGAGATGACAGCAACCATTGAATCACCACCTTCCGAAGTAATGCTTAAATATGGTTCTGGATATTCTAAACCAGGACTGCCCAAAGCTCGGGCCACGGCTAATATTTGTGCGGCCCGCGACAGGTTTCTAATCCACTACAATTAGGTAAATATTTCTTTGTTATATTTAGGTAAAATGACATTATTTTATTCAGGTCAATTCACTTAATTAACAAAGACTTTAACATATATATCTTTGCACAACAGATTCAAGTAACTCGTATCCAGAGCCGTAAGTCATTACATTAAAAACAAGAAATTTTTGGTATGGCAACAACTAATATTAATAATGCTGATATTGATAGAATTATACAAGATAAATTATTAGAGAATTAATGAAACTAAATTTAACATTATGGCCGTATTTTTAGTTTTCTCCGGAAAAATTATAAACGTATGCATTTATTTCTACGACCCCCTAACTATTTAGTGATTTGTATTGGTCTGGACAGCCCTGTTCTACACTATTAATAATTTTGTTGTAAAAAGAAATTTCAAAATTTCCTGCATTCAGAACATTGCTTTTTGTTCATTATTCATTTTAATTTTTAATCCTTGCTTAATTATTTAATATTATACAAAATGTAAATTGCTTGTACAGTGATGTCAATATCTCGCTTAATGCCTATAGTAATCAACTTGCGGTTTTTTGCCACACTTTAAGTTGCCGAAAGCACCTATTAATGATTAAAATAGAAATATTTTTTTTTTCAATTTAATATAATTTATATCAATTTCAGTGTATATTTCTTTCAAATTGGTGGGTGATAAATGTTTTTGTATATATTATTCTTAATATTTATGCATTCGGTTTAAACTAAAAAAAAATTTGAATATATACAAAATGTATGAAAATATATAAGCAGAACCAATGCAAAATTACAATATTTCATTAGTCACATGATTATGTGCAAAGATTCATACATAAATTAGTAATCTTGTCAAAAATTTTTTGCTTCTCCATAAAGTTTCCTTCCTCACAAAGTGTTCTATGGTCTGCACTATTGCTTATCACGAAACAAATTCAAAGCAATTGATCCGCTTCACATGCAAACGACTAAGTTTGAAAACCGTGTGTAGCACAAAATGCGTATCAACGCATCAAACGGGATGTAGACTTAGAATAACGGTTTGTGTTTTGAAAACTAAATTGAACGGTATAAAGTATTGAGTTTTATAGGCCGTGTTTCTACCGAATGTATTTCAAATATTCTAGAATGATACAATTTTATAGCAATGTGATTAAAAGTTTTATTTTTAATGCTGATTGCGAGTATAATTTCTTATTTAGTTGATATAATTTTCTAGTTTGCTATTTTGGAAAACTGAAAACACATGCGGACACTGCACTCTGCACACTGCACACTTGTTGTTTTTGGCACTTTACATGTGGGTAACTTTTATAAAAATTAAAAGCGGTAAATAATAATTATCAGCATTTCTGTGACATTAATTCATCTTTATTTATTTCAGTTGAACTGTGATCATGAAGTAAGTTTGACTAACTGAACATAATAATATGGTAATATGATTCGTCAGTCACATCAACGAAGCTGCAATGTTTCCGCACCGCACCATACAGCAGGACAGCAGAATTATGATAAGAAGCTTGATAAACAAAGCTTCGTGTTTATGAAGCTTGATTTTCTTGTGATGGGAAAATACTATAATTGACTGTATATAGTGAGTATTTTTTTTTTGTTTGGCAAAAAGGAACTTGTCAGATCGCTTCATTGGAATATGTTAATTTTAACTTCATCAAACGACATAATAATGCCAATAAACGCGACCTTAACTCAACTCCAGCAAATGCATCAATTTCAACATCAACTTTATCCACCTTAATAATAATTGAATAATTACTAAGCTATTTAAATGAAACCACATCAATGACTGATGCAGCTACAAAATTAAATGGACATGTAGGGAGATGCTTTCCAACAACATAAACAGCATCAACAAAATTAAATGTATCAATTAAAAATTAGTTTTGGTAAGTCATAACTATTATGTGTTGTTAAGTGTCTTTAGTTTTAGCACAAGAATATGATTGTAAGAATGTATTGAGCCAAAAACTTAGAAATGAAAAATTTATATGTTACGGATTAAATTGAAGATGCGGTTAAATGGCCGAAAACAGAGAGCAGGTGCCGCAAATACAACATCCAATCTATGCCTAAATTAGCTGAAGTGTGTATGAAAATTTATAAATTTATAAATTTTTGAAAGTCGTGATTATTTGAAATTGTCATAAAAGGCCTCACTTGAAAGATGCCGAAATTCTGTAAATATATTTACAGTATTTCACATAAATGCTTCCTGCTTTAGTGCGTTCTATTTTTAAATACAGTAAACATTCAATCATATTTTGTCATAATTTGAACAAAAGTCATTAGCCGTTTGCGACAACATAGCGACATTTTTATGAACGTAATTATATCTGAATATTAAAGATGTTAGTTTTGTATTTGTTAGTATAAGTATTCAATAACATATTCCTTATAACTTTCGTTTAAAAATTAAAGGGAAAAAACGACTCATTTAATTATTTTTTTTTCGCTCGAGCGCCATACGATCTTAGCGGCATTGTTTCCACACTATTACCGCATCATATAAATGCAAACAATTTTAATTTTTTCCTAATGTTTTAAATAAACTTATCTACGTTTTTTAGAAAAATAAAATGTTTTTTCTTTAAAAACATATGCTAATTCAGAAATTCAAGTTTTCTAAAATTTCTAATAAATAAAATATATTCCAAAATTACAAAAAAAAAACCAAAATCATATTTGGAATCCAGTTGGTATATTCAAATAAATAGTAGGGGTATTCAGGCAAGTGGTTAGTTGCTTAGTTGATTCAAAAAAAAAATTAGCATTTTGATGTTAATCTGTTTGAACGACTCAAAATGCTTAATCTGATTAATTTGTTGTGTGCAAATGCCTTGGCAGCACTCGTATCAACAGCAAAAGCGAAAAATTTAAAAATTTTTTTGTTCAGATATCGTAATTCAAAGGTAGCTTCCTCTGCAAGCGTTTTGATCTCTATTTCATCGAGCAGTGTACTTTTGATGTGGTCTTGGTGGATACTTGTTATTGTTATGCTGATCTTTTGAATTTAAGCAGAAGTTCCCCTTTTTGTGTTTTCCTGATAGAGTGAACATCATTACCGACTGCTTTAAGCTCTGGAGCTCCTTTTACTTTCCGGAGTATGTCCGCAAAGGAAAGTTTCTCAGACGGTTTAATGATCACTACATCCGGTCGAGGTGGTTTCACGCGTTTTTTTGTTTGTAAAACCCAAGCGTGTCGTTTGTTGTTGTCTTCAATTGGTGCTTGAGGTACATCAGCGTTGCCGTTCGTCCCGTCCACCGTATCTAAGTTGCTTTCCAATGCTTTCCTTGGCTCCTTAGACTTAGTATTATTTGCCCCCACAGGTCGATTTGTTTTCGTCTTCTTAGGCGGTATCTTCCTACTTTTTTCGATTTCTTCTCTTAACCGTTTGGATATAACTGGTGTTTGCTGCGGCTGAATTGTTTGGGTACCTCTACCGTTGGTTTTAGCAGTGATAGTTTTATTTGGTGTCTCTTCGGCAGTTCTTTTATAGAGCGATGATATCATTGCAACAAGATCACGCATTGCTTGGTGGATGGACCTTCTTCCTCCACCCGTCATCTCATTTAGCTCGGATATTTTGTCCCCGAGTTTAATGAACGCTTCCCTTTTCACTTTTGGAACACTGTTCCCATTAAGCTCCGAAGGGGATGAGCGAGCTCTCTCGTTTGCCTCTCTTGTGATAGCACAGGTGAGTGTGCTAGTCTCGGCGCCCTCATGAAGGGGTTTTGGCTGGGACTGACTATCCGTGACTCCTTTGCACTTTCGGTGCCGGCTGGAGTATTAACGCAAGAGTGTATTGGTGTTTTTGTAGTTGCGAACATTTTTTTTTTGCAATTGGGTCCCATCTTAAAGCCGTTATCTTGGTTTCGTTGTGTAGTTACCCTTATTGTGGTTCCATGATTATCTTTGCAATGCAGGGAGGTCATGCGAGAGTTGACACATAGCCTTATGAGCGCATGTGTTCAGAGCCAAACCGGGAGCTAAGCAGAAGATATTCTTAACTGCCACTACACCCCAACTTAACAGGACGAATCCAAGATCGTTCTTTAAGGCTTGCCAGGTTTTAACGGGACGGAGGCAGATGAAGCATTAGCCTGAAAGCCGTCTGGACCAGATTTCACTCTAACCCATATTGGTAACAGAATACATCATCCACCAGCCCAAATCATCATATCCATCATATCCAGTTATATCTGCTGTAATATCAGCATTGTGAAAAAACTTGCACACTGTATTTCCATCATTCCTGTGTCCAAAATTTTACATTGGCACATCAATAAGTAGGCCCAATTTTTCCTTAAACGCATTTTGAATAGTTTTCTTCTTTGTTTTGCATCTTTAACTTTGCAGCTTCATCTGTAGCTTTCCACGTTTTGAATTCATTACGATAAGCTATATGAAAAAGGCACTGCATGAATCTAATTCGTGCACGTAATGGCGATATACCAAATGACAAAGGAAGGTGCGGGATTTTGTCATAGTATTACCACACCACCAGGTCGAAGCTTTATGTACAACTTTAATGGAACAAGTGATATTGAAAACATTGATTCGTCTGATTTATCTAAAGCAGTGAATCTTTGCCTATAATGATGTTGTTGCGATCTATCGCATCCCCATTTAAATATGCATTTTAGATTCGTATCGTGTAGACTGTAGATAGTTAAAACTTCATTTGCAAGTCTGGAGCAGATTCTTTCGATTGGATAAGATTTTACGCAGTCTAGAGGTTTCAGAATTGCTGTTTATTTTCTGACAGTAGGACTGCCAACTAGTTCTCTTGGACCAACGTAAATTTTTCTTATATTTTTGCAGAGAGATGTTGTATTTTAGCCAGTCACTCTCACAATTGTTTAATTTTGCCTTATTAAAAAGTCTCTTACACTCCTTTCGCAAAAGACCTAAGTCTTTTAAGTTCCACCACGGTGGGTTGCATTTCCTACTAAGTCGAGTACGGGGACAGGCATAATTAAAGGCTTCATTGAGCACTGACGTGAGATCCTGGATTTGATTGTCTAGATCAACAGTATTCCCTGGGGGATCGAAGGAAATGCTTGATAACAGTTCACTTAACGCTGCTTTATATTTCGTCCAGTTTGTATTTAATATTTTTGAACGTTTTCAGTTTGTAGATGTTAGATCTAGAGTTAAAGTAAATTCTAGAATCATGTAGTCTGAGGAGGAGTGCTGAGTAGACACTTTCCATTTCATGACTGATTCGTGAAGCTTGGCAGTAACAAGAGTAACATCTAAAACTTCCTGCCTATTTTTAGTAATAAAAGTTGACCTGTTGCTATCATTACAGATAAGATTGCTACTAAAAATAAAATCAAAAAATAACTCACCTCTTTCATTTGTGTTCGAGCTGCCACAAACCTCATTGGCATCGCAGCCTATTAATAGCTCCAGTCCGAGTCTGTTAGCGCCGCTTGTTGGCTGTTTCAAGATATTCGATGGTATTGTAGTGTGATCGTGTGTCAGATATGCAGAGACGCGGAGCCCTCGATACTTACTGCGGTTTAGTTACCGTCACTGTATTGCGAAAGTAATAGAGCATTCAATTTTTTATTAATCAATATGCAGGATCCTTATTTACCGCATATAATAAGTTGTAGTTTTTAGCCCTGATTTCGCATACAAGAGCCTTGTAAACCCATGGTTTTTGTATCAGAACCATACCAACCTTGAAGTTGCTGAGACGTTGCAGCAGACTACCCGCATCATTAGTTTGTTTGGATCTCTCTACCAAAGTGACGTCTAAAACACTATCCTCCTCAGAGTCATTACTCATTAGGAGTTCCTCTTCATCGAAAAGATAGCGCATACCTATGGTCTTCTCTGATGTAATTGAAGGAACCGGCGAGAGAACAGACACCGAAGTGTCCATACACACAGGTGAGTCTTCAGATAATATCACGACCGGACTCACTTCGGTCATGGAAACAGGCTTTATGCTGTCCACTTCCATTTGGGGATCAGCAGCGTATGAGGAGTCACCGCTGAGTCCCTTACGTCAGACAAGGATTCCTTCTCATCTCTTTTGTAAACCCTCATATTTATGGGGAAGAAAACGTTATTTAATACGCCACCAGATAGCGCCAGAATGGCTGGGAGGCTTTGTCGATCACAAAACTGACCGACCTAAACTTATCTTTGGCTTTTTCCAGCTTTGTGACCTTCCACGTAACCGTAATAACATCAGGGTTTCCCATCCGAATTAGCTCCAAAATCCGCTGAGGATCGGACAGAACGTTGATCTACGCAGGCGACTACCTTCACATGGCCCTGAAAGCATCCACTGTCGTGACACTTGGGAATTGTGCCTGGAAATTCCTTCAGGACCTTAACAAATCAAGGAGCTTTCACTCGATTTGATCCCATTTTTCAGGGGTTAAAGTGCCATCTGGGTCATTTTGATCAATGACTGCCATCATGATGGAGCCCTTCAGCGTGTCGCTAAAGGACTTGGTAATGGTGGCGTTGCCACAAAATTTTGCCTTTTTGGCACAAGGCTTCGAAGCTGGCTCATCTAATGAGCGCTGACGCTTCTATGCAGGTTCCTCTTTTTCTTCCTTAGGAGTATTAAGGATCTGCTTTGCCCAGGCTAATCTTAAGTGATTCGGATGTGACCGATACATTACTATATCTCTCGAGCAGTCTAGTCACCGCTCGCCGTTTTTTATAAATTCTCCTGGAAGGAGGACCCTCTCCTTTTTCCCACGAGTTGCAGAGAAATTAGAGTCGATCCGGGCAGAGATCCGCTATAACCGGACAAGCCTATTTTACAACCCGAGGGCGCCAGTTATCTGGGGGTCTCCGTTCAGAGACACACTAACGTAGTGCCATTCATCTCATTGGCATAGGTCAAATAATACCGGAGATTATGGGTTTTGTCGAGTTGTCCTCTCTAGATACATAGTGTTCTGTTATGTCAACTAAAATTATCATTAAGAACACGAACCCATTACCACTGCTGACAATAAACAAAAAAAATTACTCTAAAAAAACAAAAAAAATTATATATAACAAAAAAAAAGAACTTATAAATCAAGTATGAATTCCTATTTCTTACTTCATTTTTCTTAATAAAAATAAAAAAAACCCACAAATTAGGTAAAAATCTTTTACTGCTTCTTCTCTTTGTTCATTTAGATATTTAAACATTTGTTCCATAACCAAGCAAAAATTTACATGAGCCTTCATCACTTCTTAAATTTGAAGAAACACTCATTGAACAAGATTGGTATTACATTCTTTTTATTTGAATGAATGTAGCACGCCGCCCATGTTCCCAAAGGAACCTCTTCGTTTCTTGAAAGCCACATTGTCTTGCCTGGACCCATTCCTAGATTGCTCATCATACGGATCATTTCTTCAACATCTCGACGATGTTCATTCTCACCCGGTTGCTTTCCATTGCTTGATTGTATTTTTCGAGTTGCCATGTTTTAGTGATCTGTACCTAATGATTTTCTCTAACTATAT